CGCAGTTCATGTGCAGTGTTTACATGTGTGCCTGCCCTAGTCTTCCACATACCTCATTTTCCAGCCAATGTTTCGGCAAGGGAGGCCGACACTTCCTGATGCACACCGCTTCATAGACGTCTTTACTAGACGGGACTTCAGGAATGCTATCGGCATAGGGCTTTGAGTATGCTGGGGCTGATCCTGCGTATGGAGCAAATTACAATGGAAGAAAAGCACACACGGTTATCAGGATTGTTGTATTTGGTACTGAAACTCTTGGATAGCTTGCAGCCGTTACTGTACATTGAAAAGCTTTTACCAGAGATTAAATTTCACTATTTCCCCCGACGGCATAACGTATTTGCGAACATTAATTTTGCGCCGCAAACAGCTCTGCACATTGATTGCTGGCAAGACATCGTCCAGCTGGAGAGGTAAAATTACGACAGTATCTCACCGTGTTAAGGGTTTTTATTATATTGGCCCTACGACGATGACTGCAATGGACAACCATGCAACAAAGAAGTTTAGGCCAGTGGTGAAAGGTTTATTTTCTTGCACATGCCTATAGTGATTAGTAAGTGTGACATGAGCGTCGGGCCGCTACACGTGACGTCAACCGCGGTAATTCTTCAAAACGCTGAATTTTTCGCTTTTTCGCACCGTGAAAATTAATCTATACAGCACTGGTGGCGTGCTACTCTGCACGATGGTCATGAACATGATGATTGTGGAAGTGCTGTAGAACGGCTAGTTTTAGTGTGTAAAATCGTTTTCTGAATCTGGACCAATTCACGTTTCTAACAAAATGGTAACTATTACTGTACTGAACATGCAAAATTTCGATTGAAAAACGTTGGGCGAAAACAGTCCTTTTGCTTAAATCTTAGGCACTTTACAGTAAGGGAGATTTGTTTTGCATTTACTGCACAGCCGACACTGACTGCACCTGTAACTGAATACATATATTATATACACTCAACTACACTGACTGCACAGTCTGTAACTGAATACATATATTATATACACTCAACTACACTGACTGCACCTGTAACTGAATACATATATTATATACACTCAACTACACTGACTGCATCTGTAACTGAATACATATATTATATACACTCAACTACACTGACTGCACCTGTAACTGAATACATATTACATACACTCAACTACACTGACTGCACCTGTAACTGAATACATATATTACATACACTCAACTACACTGACTGCACCTGTAACTGAATACATATATTATATACACTCAACTACACTGACTGCACCTGTAACTGAATACATATATTACATACACTCAACTACACTGACTGCACCTGTAACTGAATACATATATTACATACACTCAACTACACTGACTGCACCTGTAACTGAATACCGACTGCATCTGTAACTGAATACATAATTATATAGACACTCAACTACACTGACTGCATCTGTAAGAGCAGTGTGTACTGCGGTGCCTGTCTACCAATACATGTATACACTGACTCAACTACACTGGACTCATGCAGCGGCGGTGGAAGGTATTGTTCTGGCCAGTACCCCCCCCCCCCCACACACACACATACATGAATTTGAGCCAGCACTTGTAAAGTCGGCGGAATAGCGCGAGCTCCAGCGTGGAGAGCAAATCATTTCCTCACTTGTCTTTTCCGATGATTTGTACAGTGTACTACATAACGTGAAAAATATAGCAGACATGCACGTCAACTAAAGCGAAGTTCCCATTGCTGTCGTCACCACTTCCACGGATTGGCAAACCCTGGCGCGCAAGAAAGTCCGAAATTCATCATCTCAGCTACATCCGGGTAGCTTTTCGGGGCTAAAGCGGCTTGCACAGCGTCGACGTGGACAGCAGACGGAACACTTCGGGTTTTCTGAATGAAATAGTGGCACCTTTCCAGTTACAAAATCCGTTGGTGACAGAAATTGAATCCCCGCGCTTGTAAAGGACCTGATTGCTGCTGGCGGCCGCCGTGCAGGCGAAACAAAACACCTTGTCCTCGAACTCCTTATACGAAAGCCAAGGCCATGCCGCGAAGGCAGAAGTATGACCCCTGGCAAGAGCGTTTGACTATTTTGTTTTCTCACTTTTACGCGTAAGAAGAAGGACAAGTGAATGGACTGTGCAGGTTCCGAAAAGACCGCAAACAAAGTAAGTTTCGGTGGCAAAAGTTAGTCTGGCCCCATGGCCGGACGGGCCGGGAGGGCTCCGCCACCTATGTCCTCCAGGATGATCTAAGAGTTTGTGATTGGGATAGAGTCGAACTGATCATGTCGCACTTCAATCTAACCGTCTTTGGAGAAAAAACATGCAGTCAAAAAATCTAAATTCTGCAGGGAAAATGAGGTTTTTCTGCAGAGTATTCTCTACTACATTGACAAATCTGCGGTGTTTGGTGCAAGACTTTCACCATCCTCGTAGGAATACTTTTCACGCTATCCCTCTCTATCACAACTGAACAGTGTTGGAGAGATCTGCGCTCACCTACACCAGCAAGAACAGTATGCTCACTGGATCCATTGCAAAACAACTTTTCATATTCTGTTTTCTGCCCAGTAACAATTACTAGGCGAAAACTCAAATTCCGCAGGCAAAAGTGTGAATTCAGTGAGTTCTGCCGATCACTGTGATTTCCGCAGAACTTACCACGGGAGTGGAATTGCGTTTTTCCGGCCAAGGTGAAAGGTCAACGGGAGAGGAACACAGGGGGTCGGAAGAGGATAGTCTACTGGATGAAACGTTATGGTTCAGGGAGATGATAATACACATACCTGCATGACCGGCAGTCAGACTGAGGAGTTTGATTGGTCCCCCCACACCCTAGCCTTTCATACAGTTTGTGTATGATGTGGAAGGTACACATGTTTCATACAGTTTGTGTATGATGTGGAAGGTACACATGTTTCATACAGTTTGTGTATGATGTGGCAGGTACACATGACCTAGCCAGCAATACACAGGCGTTGACGGCCAAAACATTGGTCCGCCATGACTGGACTAACTGGGCCGCTTCAACCGGGCCGGAGTCCTGGTCATAATCTTATGAGCAGCAGCAGCAGCAGCAGCAGCAGCAGCAGCAGCAGTCATATTCTACCAGTACTGACATACCGTTGGCAGGGCAGCAGGCATGCGCCAATTCCCAAATGATCAAGGCAAGCGAGTAGACGTCGGCGGCACGGAACTCTTCAAACGACGAGCGACTGATGGAGCCGTCGAGCACCTCTGGAGCCTTGTACCTCGCGTCACCAACCTGTGCAAGAAACAACAGAGTGCAATGTATGGGCAAATGCATGGGCATGGGCAATGTATGGGCAAATGCATGAGCAATGCATGAGCAATGCATGGGCAAATGTATGGGCAATGCATGGGCAATGCATGGTGAGCAATGCATGAGCAATGCATGGGCAAATGTATGGGCAATGCATGTGCAATGCATGGGCAATGCATGGGCAATGCATGGGCAATGCATGGGAAAATGTTTGGCCGGGCAATGTATGGTGCACAACATCATTTAGACAGCATTTCAGCTGAAGAACCCAATGTTATTGCTCAGTACTGGTATTGTACAACTGGCAAAATTGACTACAGATACATGTCACATAGACCGGTGATCAATAGACCATATACAGTAGAGTCACGCGGCCCGTTGTCTGCACCCTTCCATGCATGGGGCTGTCTCCAGGGGGTTGGGATGAGGAGTATGTTGGGATAAGGGAGCGGCCACACACCAATCTAAAACATGCATATCATTGTCCCCTCATGTTTTCATCATTCACGGCTAATTCTGTTCACCAGCACTACTGTCTACAGGAATTAGACACTCCAGCTCCTCTTAATTGATGCTTTGGGGACCCATTTTGATGCCACCCTGTTGCCATACAACCGCGTGCAGCCGTGCACCATTTGAATGGTGGTTTGGGTGGATGGGGGGGGGGGGGGGATAAGCAAACACGATTTTAGTCCCCTATATTCAGTGCAAACCGGCATTTCAGATAAATGAGCGGACAGTTGGCGTTCAGATAGTCGGCATTCTACTGCACATGCATCAACCTTCTCTCTAATAGCGGATCTACACCCAGGCACATTGAGCCATCTCTAGAGCTGCTGCAACAACTCCCTCCAACAGTGCAACAGTACAAGAAGGTTCATGTATGCCTTTGACTCAGTTTGGCTTACGGGGAAGAGCTGAAAGTTATGTGTCACATAACTTAAATTTTAAGAAAAAGATTGGAGGGCGTATCCAATCTGGAAAGAAGTGTCAGTATCGATGCAATCAACACAGGCAAGTAGAGCCAATTTTGTTACATTTTGTAATTTTGCTGAATTAGACATTTTCCATTCTTCCCTGTACTTTCTCCTGATGAGAAGGGAACCGAAAATGTTCTGTTACAAAATCCACTCTACTTGACTGTATGAATGTCGACCGGTCGCTGCTTGGATGACTACTATATGTACACCATAGCTTAGTGGTAGAGCATCGCTGGCCATCATTGAAGCAAGGGTCCCTGGTGCAAGTCATGGTGGTGGCCAGTCAGTTTTTTCTTCAGGCTTTTCCCGTTCGCATCTTTCCCTCAAACCAATGAACATTAAATTCTGCCGATATTTTGAATTCTTCCCGATCAGAATACAAAATTGTTGAACATTTCCTGCAGACACGTCGTGTGCTATTTAGTATGTACAGGCATATTCAGACCAACGGTCACTGTGCAACGTACACTGCATCAACGGTGTGCAACGTACACTGCATCAACGGTGTGCAACGTACACTGCATCAACGGTGTGCAACGTACACTGCATCAACGGTGTGCAACGTACACTGCATCAACGGTGTGCAACGTACACTGCATCAGCGGTGTGCAACGTACACTGCATCAACGATGTGCAACGTACACTGCATCAATGGGTAGGTACATGCAAGAGCTTTTGGACGAGTTGATTTGCAACAAAACCGTGGTTTTGTGTGTGTGTGTGTGTGTGTGTGTGTGTGAGAGAGAGAGAAGAGAAAGAGAGAGAGAGAGAGAGAGAGAGAGAGAGAGAGAGAGAGAGAGAGAGAGAGAGAGAGAGAGAGAGAGAGAGAGAGAGAGAGAGAGAGGGAGGGAGAGAGGGAAAGGGAGAGAGATAGAGATAGATAGATAGATAGATAGAGAGAGAGAGAGAGAGAGAGAAAGAGAGAGAGAGAGAGAGAGAGAGAGAGAAAGAGAGAGAGAGAGAGAGAGAGAGAGAGAGAGGACAGAGGTCACCCACCATCAGACTGGCCTCATTCACATAGTGCTCTCCGTCTTCTTTGTTGTCTCGACTGATGGCCAGCGACAAGTCTGAGATACAGCACGTTCCATCTTGCTTCACCAAGATGTTTTTACTCTTCAGGTTGCGGTGTGCAATGGACGGCTTGCATCCAAAGTACTGGCCCTGCACGTGGCTGTGCAGATGTGTCAAGCCGGCCACTACGGACAGAGTCATTTGGCGCATGTCTTCAATGCCTAAACGTTCGTCGGCCGGTACATCGGGATTGCAGTAGCGTGAGAGAAAGTCGAACAGAGACCCATTGGGATGGTATTCCACTATAATCCATGGTTGAACTTGAAAGCTGTGGCGGACAGATTCCGCACGAGCAGCAGTGGCATCTTTATCATTAGTAGTAGTAGAAGTAGTAGTAATAGTAGTAGAGCATTGTCGCTGCCCGGCATCATGATAGAGAGCAATACTATCGTGACGCATCATGTACGTGCTGGAATGCTGCACCTCGCGGCGAAACTGATCACTGGCCGTAGCTTTGAAAAGTTTCAGCGTGACCATCTGTCCGCGCCAAATGCCTCGATGCCAGTCAGCAAACTGGCCAGATCCAATTTGGTCGCCAAGTGAGATCTCTTCAAAAATGCCTTTCTCGCACTGCTGCTGCTGCTGGTCCTGATTCAGATCTTCAGAATCAAGTGGTTGCACCTGTAATCCTAGCTTCTTCTTCAAGCTACACGTGTAGTGTAGCTGACGCCAGCCCGTTATGCCACGCTTGACATGTCTGCCTCGCGAGCACGTCAAGTAGACAACAACGAATGTAGCAACGGAGATTGCCATGCTTATGGCTATGACGATGGGGATGAACGGAAACCTGAACGTATCTGCAGGACAAAATGCAGCAACAAGGCCAGACACCAGCTAAATGGTAACAGATTCATATTTACAGAAACGGCATGCAGCCATGTGTGTGGCGTTCTGAAGTTTTGACACACAATGGTCCCATTAGATTATGTGTGTGTGTGTGCACATGCTCGCACGTGTGTACAGTCGAAGATTTTTTTAGCAGAATCACTTGCACCTGCAGGACCAAAAGTTCAGCCCGACATGTTTTGAAGCGAGGCCAGTCCCTGCGTCCAGAAGCTGACCAATCTCCTACCACTCTCGTCAGGGGCCTTATCAGAATATTTTTATAGCGTGCTCAAACATAAGTGAGGAGGCATTCAGGGCTTAAAGATTGATATAATTTGAAGGCCTGCTAAATGGATGCCAATACGTGGATAACCGCCCAAGACTGTGCAGCTCGACTATCGGTGCCGTCCCGACAGAATTTCAACTTGACATCATTTTTATGATGTGATGCACACTGCAATATTACATGGAAGTATCAGACGTATCCTGAACCTGTGGTGGACAAAACCCCATTTGATCCTGTTCAAACTAGTTCAAGGAAACTCGTGTGATGCGTTGACACCCCGTACAAATGACGTGAATGACTGGTGCCAGGAGCATTGAGTCATAAAAATTACATCAACTTGAAATTCCGTAGGGACAGAAGCCTGAAGGGTATGCGGAAGTTGCACACTCTGGCGGTTTTTTGTACTCTTTGTATTGGCTACCTGCGTGTTAGCTCACTCCGGGTGATATTCAGGGGAGTGCGCAGTAACTGTACAGGGGGGGGGGGGGGGGTGCGCCCCCCCCCCCATCCAGACAGCATTGATATCCCTTACTTAGGTCTTGTATGTGTCTCCGAGGTTGCAGGAAGCTGTTCGGACGTCCCGTGGTTCTGGAGGCTAGTGCTTCGTCTGCTGCACTAGCTGTGTCAGAGGCTCAAGTTCCGGTCTAAATTTATGGATTTTATTGAAACGTTTTTTGAGGAAGTTTACTTATTTATGCGGTTGCCTCTTGTGTGCTCCGTGTGCGGCTGGTTGGGTTCTTTTCTTTAACTGGTTGGGTTCTTTTCATTTGCTTTGGGTTCTTTTCATTTGCTTTGAGTTTTTTTCATTTGCTTTGAGTTCTTTACATTTTAAAATTGTTTTGGATTTTAGTTGCGATGTATATCATTGACAAAGATGTATATCATTGACAAAGATGTATATCATTGACAAAGATGATTTTTGCCCGTACAAGAGGCTTGAAACACTGGAAAAAATTGATATCCCTACACACGAGTATCATACAAATTGATATCCCTACACACGAGTATCATACAAATTGATATCCCTACACACGAGTACCATACAAATTGATATCCCTACACACGAGTACCATATAAGTGCCTTGCACCATGTACAAGTGCATGTACTGTCACAGGGCTGCCCATACCCATGCACATCATTGAAAGCTTGTTCGCGCTGGCATCACTAAGCAAGCTTGGCTAGCCTTTGCATAAGCCAAACGGACAAAGGAAAGGAGAACTTGAGGAGTGAGGTCAATGAGGTGAACACACACATGCATATGACCTACCTTTTTGCGCTCCTTCCACTGGGTGAGTTGTGGTGACTAGAAGAGGTGGCGTTTCTATTGCTGGTGGTGGTGACGGCGTCGTTGTTGAGCCTTCGAGATATGATGTGGCTGTTGTCGCGGACCCTTCAAGAGGTGATGTTGTCAGCACGGACGTTGGCACGGTAGTTGGCACGGTAAGGTTAGTTGGCATGGTAAAGGTAGTTGGCATGGTAGTTGGCATGGTAGTAGGCATGGTATGTCTCCAGCACGTTCGGTTAGGTCCTCTGTATTTTGATACAATCTCATTGTCCAATGGACGCAATCCTTCACTGTCTTTGGCCAAAATGGATTTAGTCCAAGAGGAGCAGTTGCTGTCTCCACCAATATCACAGCACTTTGCGTAAAATTCGTCGCAGCGGGAAGACATTGTGGAGTTGTTGGGAAAACATCCAAAAAAGTAGCATCTGACCATACCGGTGCCCTGCACTCTGTGATAGTAGAATGTAAGTATTTGTCGCTCACCCGGAAAGCAAGGACATGTTCTGAGATCGGGTCCTGCGCATGGCATATTTGGATCACAAGTGTCGCACGTTGGAAGCATCACCACTCCTTGCTCTGCTTGCACGCAGCAGTTGTTATAGAAGAGAGTGGCGCAAGTCAAGCAGCCAGCCAGTAGCACCAATCGCCAATGGCAATGGTTACTCCGCACATAGGCGCTTCTCATCGAGGTGTCACTGGCGAGCGCCATGATGAGAATGGCGACAAATCCTCTGATCGCGGACTGTAAAGTGCAACCTTCGAATCCAGAAGTCTTTCCCAATCGACTATAGTATTAGTGTGAATGCAGCGAGCGATGGCTGACGTCGGATATCAGCAAAGTCACACCATCACCTGGTCAACAATGAATCAACGTACGTTTTAGATGTTGTACACGCACGTCTTTGCACTCGTTACCGCAAACTCCGTCGAGGCTACCCTGCTGCGGGAGGAACATGCACGTTTGCCAGTGTCACGCTCATTCAAGATCCAGTACTCCATACGCCGCGTCACATCTATGTCCTAAGCCCAGTACAGGCCTAGATTCAACAAAATGTAATGCTGCTTGCTCGGCGTCACCAACGACAGTTCACGATCTTTCCGAAATCGACTCGGACGTTCTTCTTGCACAGTCAGCGGTGATTTGCGCCCGTCGTCCGTAGAATTGCAGGAGTCCGAAAGCTTCTCTCGAAACTCAGCTACTACTTCTACTATTGCTAATGCTGTATGCGCAATGCCCACCCAAGCTTGGGAAACCAGAGCGGAGGAAAGATATGTCTTCTAGTTCTGCTACCTCCATGCACAATACACACACAACCGGGGAGGGAGTGCGCGACAATGACTAAACCTAGTAAAGGTAAGTGTAAGTCGGCGTAGGGACGGTCAGCCGCTCTTCTAACGTTAGGAATAGGAGGCGTGCTGGCAATAGTAGTTCTACCGAGTCTCAGTGTTAGTGTAAGATTAGCGGTTGCAGGCCTACTAGCGCGTATCTGTGGCCTGCTGCCATGCGCTCAGGGGTAGATCCTCGGAGCTAGACTAGTCTAGCGTGCGATGCCACCCAACCTCGCATGAAACGGCGTTCTGCTTGGATGATGGCGTATGATAACGGTATTTCCAACAACTGCCAACAGATACGGAGAGCTGCGCGGACTTCACTGGCCGCTCGACGATACTGTGTTCATTGGAGAAAATCTGATGGCAAGCGACTGCATACGTATTGTAATGTTGTAATGAGTTGATGACGGCAGGCCGGTGTATACGTGGGGGTATTTTGTACAGACACGGCCAAGCCGTCTGTGGCTTCAACGTGTTTACTACTACGCGTACTACAGTACTAGTAGTAGCAGTTGATCTCCTGAGTCATGGCTTTTGCGCTCATGTCTACTGCCAGCTGCTAGACTAAGCGGTATGTGTACTCTGAACGGTGCTCTCACACTGAACGGAATAAGTGAACGGAATACCTGAGTAGTAGCTTCCGGTCCGGAGCAAAGATACAGTGTCCACCAGAGCAGCCCTACGCATACCGTCCGTATGTGTAGGGCTGCTCTCTGGTGTCTACCTGACCTTACTTGCTGCGCAAGCTATACTATCGGCGCACTGCTGGATATCATTTTCGTCGTTGAACCAGTCAGCTGCTTGTAGTCAAGACTGCCTCTAACCAATGACAAGAAAAAGCCACAGAATGCTGTCTGATCTGTCACCGTTGTCTGAAAGGAACCTGGAACTTGGGAAGTAGTTGACCAACCAACGCTGTAGTCTGTACTGTCGGAATCTGGGTGTGGCAGTGCAGTGCATTAGTAGTGCCAGTAGTGGACGACATTGGAAGGAAGCCTTGACGCGTCCTCAGACAGAGAGAATGTGACAATACGTGTCCGCACGAGCCGCCTCTTGACAGTCTGCTCCTCGTGCACTGGGAAAGCAGCCAGCTCCCGCCTGATATCCTTTCAGAGTCCAGCCACCTTCAGTTCTGTGCCCTGCTAAAAGCGCATCATGGCTCCGTCTAATAAACTTTAAAATAATGCTTTTCGGCTAGTGTGTTTCTGTGGTATAGCGCACTGAAGAGTAGGAAACGTGTTACGCAATTTTATAGTATTCCCATTCCGGTTTTGCTTTAGTGTAGCCCTGACTGGGCCTGAGGTTGACTCACTTATTATTCTACCCTTCCTCTCTCCGTATTTCTGCCCCCCTCCCCCCCCCCCCCCCTCTCTCTTTCTCTCATTCCCTCTGTCGTCCATACTGGTATGTATCAAAGGAGGCGAAACCGCCTGTTTGTGGTGCGACGTTAATTAAACTTCTACAACAACATTATAGAGACAGAGAGAGAGAGAGAGAGACAGAGACAGAGACAGAGAGAGAGAGAGAGAGAGAGAGAGAGAGAGAGAGAGAGAGAGAGAGAGAGAGAGAGAGAGAGAGAGAGAGAGAGAGAGAGAGAGAGAGAGAGAGAGAGAGAGAGAGAGAGAGAGAGAGAGAGTGCGAGCGAGACCGGTATGCAGAAAGGATATTGGCGTGACCCTGTCGAACGATGCTAGCCGCCGGTGTCGATGACAATAGATAGAGAGCTTACGCTTCACGTTGTTCTATTTGGAACGTGAGAGAAAACGTGCGTTGAATCGATTTTTTCACCGTGCGCGTGCGTGAATCGGGCCTCTCGTTGAAATCTCACGTTGCAACGTGAGAAGCACGATTTTGGCCATGACATCTCACGTTCGAAATTGAAAACAGGTAAAGCGTAAACTCTCTAAGTAATACATGTACTAGCATAAGACACAGTCATCATGACGCTCGAACGCAGCAGGGCGAAAGCCAGCCTGTAGCGGAGGTGGGCAACTAGCAAAGAATACGCCTTCCTCCTACGCAGCGACTGGAGGTGTGCAATCCGACTCACCGGTGCAGCAGCACCCTTGCCACATCCTCCGGTGGAAGAGAGAACAAAGGGGAGAAAAGTGGACCGCTCCACTTCTCTACACTACACTACTCCCAGATACACTGTACCGGTACACTACTCCCAGATACACTGTACCGGTATTTGTGTGCATCGTACCCCGATCGTACTTTAAAATCGTACACGTAAAAATGTCGTGTGAGCGCGCTAGGCTAGCACTTTTCTCGCGCGCTGCGTGCAACCTTTCTCGTACGTTTTAATCGTCGTGTGAGCGCAACCTTACCATGTCTATGGATAAGTCTTCGCGCAATAATGGACTCCCCGTGGTTTCTTCCAGTACTGGCCTGTATTGGCTACTGAAATTATGTACTCTTGTCAGTCTTGAGTCTACTTGTAGGATTTAGGACTGACCAGTCTACTTGTAGGATCTAGGACTGACCAGTCTACTTGGTCTAGGACTGACATGTCGACAGACTCGGAGTCTGTCTGCAATCCAGCCCTTACAAGTTAGTTACCGGTAGACTAGTTGCATCCGTCAGAGTGACATCCAGCTAGAGTAGTACCAGTGCAGTACCAGTACTCACTGTCTGTGACACTGTCTGTGACACTGTCTGTTAAGGTGGCAGTCTGGGTTCAGAGGGTCAAAAAACAAAGTTTCGATTTTCTGTATTTTTTCACTGGCAGCGTCTTGTGTATGGTCCAAAGGGTTTATCCTGAAAATTTGAGCGTAATCGGGTGCTTCCTTCCGGAGATATAGCCGCGCAAAGTCTGCACAATTGTTTTTGAAATACTGAAATATCAGCAAATTTCTACAAAATTTAGGTTTGCACACTATTCCGATTTTTACCGTCAATCTTTGAGCGATTTCATTAAAATTTTCTGGAGCGACTCCTTGTACTCCTCTGCGCTGCAGACTGACAGCCGCGCACGATGTTTGTCACCATGGCAACCAAGATAACTTTTGCGCATGCGCAAATTCAAAAAAATTCAAATTTCGACTCTCATGATCTCAGCTGATCGCTCTGCTGTTGAAACTTTTGGAGTAATTGTTTTGGAGTAATTGTTTCTTGGAGCTAACCCCTTCGTTGGCTACTATGGGGAAGTCTAGAGCCAAGGGAAAGCCCGGACGATCTAAGAAAAGGAAAAGAACGTTCTATGGAGTGTCTCAGGCGCCGAAGGCTCCCTCTGGTAAAATTTCGCCTGCAGAACAAATTCCTGACTTGCCACTGTCTGATGACGACCTTGAAGTGTCAGCTGAAGCCACGTCTTCAAGCAGCGATAGTGATGGAAGTGGCGGTGAAGTCGACAGCAGTTCCTCCGACAGTGACTTGGATGAAGAGTGTGAGGAAGGGGCGCATGGATTTCGCCTGATTGATCTCGAGTGCCTTCAGCAGCTTTTGTCAGCTGCAGTTTGTTGCAGTGGCTGTAATGGCGCAGTCACGATCAGCGAATCGCAACGGGGAGGCCTTGCATCATGCCTGGAGCTTTCCTGTGTTAACTGCGGCGACATAGCAAGCGAATTTATGTCCAAGAAGTTCAATCGGGTCTGGGAGGTGAACAGACGAGCAGTATTCGGAATGCGACTGATTGGCCGTGGACGTCAATCAATGGTAAAGCTGGCGGGTGCACTGAATATGCCATCACCTATGAGTCGGTCGACATTTTACAGCCATGCTAAAGGCCTGCATTCCGCGTCCAAGAGCGTCGCTGAGCGTAGCATGACTGAGGCAGCTGAGAAAGCAGTGTCCGCAGCAGATGGGGGTAGCGATATCGCTGCTTCCTATGACGGTACCTGGATGCGCCGAGGATTCGCATCGCTCTTCGGAGCCTTCACTATAATTGCATATGATGTCGGCAAAGTGGTGGACTGCGAAGTGCTTTCAAAGTTTTGCCACAAGTGCACGCACTTGGCGTCTAGAAAAGAGAAGGGAGAGCTAACCAAAGATGACTATGATCGACAGATTGCCGAACACGATTGCTCAGTCAACACCACTGTATCAGCTCCTGCCATGGAGAGTGCAGCCGCCAAGACTCTGTGGGCCAGGTCCTTTGAGAGCCGCAAGCTGAGGTACACCACCTACATTGGTGATGGAGATACCAAGAGTTTTAAGGCTGTGCGTGACGCTTGTCCGTATGGGCCCGAGGTGCCTGTAGTCAAGGAGGAATGTGTCGGCCACGTTCAAAAACGCATCGGTACCAGCCTAAGAAAGCTGAAGAAAAACCTTACGGGCAAGAAGCTTGCTGATGGGCGCACTATAGGCGGACGTGGTCGCCTCACGGATGCCATGATCGACAAGCTGCAAGCCTACTATGGCATGGCTGTGCGGAACAACAGCGGAGACTTGCAAGCCATGGCCAGGGCCATATGGGCATCCCTCATGCATCGTGCATCCAGCGACAGTAAACCTCAGCACCAGTATTGTCCGCCTGGAATTAACAGCTGGTGTAGATGGCAGCAGCAACAGGCAGGTGGTGATGTCTACGCCCACCACAATATCCTGCCAGAGGCAGTATGGAAGGAACTGAAGCCGGTCTACATTCGGTTGTCCGACCGGAGTTTGCTCGAGCGCTGCCAGAAGGGTGCTACGCAGAATCGCAACGAAGCGTTCAATGGACTCGTGTGGCAGTTGTGTCCAAAGACAGGCTTTGCATCCGCTCCCACTGTCCAGATGTGCGTCTACCTGGCCGTGGCCTGGTTCAATGATGGAGGTGTGGCAGTGAAACGCGTTCTGGACGAGATGGGCCTCCCTACTGGACACCATACGACACGTCTCATCAAGCTGCTAGACCGTGAGAGACAGGCACATGCTGCCAGAAAGAAGTCAGAAGAAGGGAAGAGGTCACGAAAGAAGCGAAGGAGGGTCAGGAAGGGCATCCAGGATGAGCAGCAAGAGGAAGAAGGTTTGACATATGAAGCTGGTGGCTTCGACTAAGTTCTAGTAAGTTCTAGTTGGACAGACATACCTCCATCTGTACTTGCACAGAGCACTTTTTTCTCCATTTTCCACTGAGTCCCGTACCTCTTAGACAGCGTAGCAAAGAACCTGTAAGTCACAGACCCCATAAACCATACATTTTTGGAAACTGTGAGCATTTATCAAGGTGCTAAGTGTCATGGATTTTTATATTTGTCTAGTAGCTTTGAGTAAAGTGCTACTGATCGAGGACCTAAATTTTGCGCGATTGCATGATTTTTGTTTGACAGCTTGAGTACTTTGTTCTGAATATGATTTCAAAATTCCGCTCCACTTAGCACCTAGGTATATGTGAAGGAAATCCTGTGGAGCACTCAGTTTCTACCCAGCTTCTTTCTGCGTTTGCATATTGCGTCTAAGGTATTGGTGGTACGGCATAATCGCAGATTTGACTATTGTGTCTGCGGATTCCCATGTGTGAGCTTGATTTATACTTCATTGGACTTAGTGAAATACACTGGGTATGTGGTCAAGATTTGAGCAAAATTCATCAATTATTATGGAAGTTACGGCTGTGTTCATGCGGTCGGGCCGCGAACCCAGACTGCCACCTTAACATGTGACTTGGCCTGTTCGAATCGAAGACCATAAAACCTAAGCTTGATCAACCGCACGTGTGTGAGGACGGCGGTGTGCATCTACTAGATCTGGCAAGTCCCTAACCATGCTAACTATGTTACTTGGCTAGAGCGCTGTCGATGTCATGTCATGCCACCAAGACTGACTCAGCCCGGGCAAGAGGCAAGCGTAAGCTCCGAGAGCTCATTTTTACTCTTGCAGTCTTGCCACTCTTGCCTTGGTGGCCGACTGGCACCTTGATCACCAAGATCAATGTTGTTTCAATGGCCTGACTGTCATGCACGGAGATCGATCCCGTCACGTCCCTGCCGCGTTTAATATCATGGTTATGTGCGTGCAGAGGTGGCCAGCTGCAGCTACAGATCAGGGAGCTGGAGGTAGATCTACCATGATCTAGTATTAGGTCAGTGCAGCAGGTCCGGCATTAGTCATTGTATACCGGTACTCCATCAACAGTTACGTTCACGCGTCAGTTGACATCGATATCGACACGCGCCGTAGGTCTACTTACCGACATCGTACACGGTGGGTGATCTCGTGTGGACTTCTTTCAGCTCCTGTAGATCCTTGCGAACCGCGGGCTGGGTAGTGCCGTGATGCAGTGCCGAGCCGCGTTACTGTCCTTTGCAACCGTCCTAAGTGCAGAGTGACTAAGCCCAGGCTTGTAGAAGATCGTCGCGTTGGTGGAGAAAACAAGGCGGTGTCTTGGTCGGCTGAATGGAAGACGTCGCCGGAACCTGAACCGCACAGATACGGCATTGGCTAGTAGATCTACTACTAGGTGACGGAACAGTGGAAAGTCCGTGTGCGGTGCGAATCACTTGCAGTGTCTACGGTCAGTATAAACTACTACTGTCTTGCACTTGCACCGGTACTTCAGTGTACGAACAAAATACTATACTGTATTAGTGCAGTTGCGGAATTATTGTTCCGTGTTGTGTGGGTAATCCTTGGACGGGCGCAGAACATTATCGACAAGTTAGCTAGTTGCAGAACATTGTTGAAGTGATCAAGTGGTCGAGCATTGTCGAAGTGGTCGAGAATTGTCGAAGTGGTTGAGTATTGATATTGTGCAGGACCAGGAAGCACCTGTTGTGGAGGTGGGCTCGGAGCAGCAGCAGAGCTAACCGCTGCACTGACTGTGACCACCCGTCTCTAGTCTGCACCGTACCGCCCGGCAAAGCAGAAGGCGAGGAGAGCAAGTAACAGTTAGTCGTGGTGTTCTACAGCACAGTACTGTAGTCATGTACATGTAGTATGTAGGTAGGCCCGATGATCATGGTTAGTGTGACCATGGTGACAGGGTGCAGGTCCGGCCCATCACAATGTCCAATGTACTTAGTCTTTGTAGTGTTGCTGGTGGCTGCCATCTTGGTACTTGTGCAGCCACACATACACGTGGGAGCTCAGTCTACCAGCAAGTCTACATCCAGCCCTTTAGTAGTCCCCACGGTAACCAGCCCGCCAGTACCGAAGGTGGGTTACAACTGCATTGCCTGTGACAGTTGTATCTTTCAAGAGACTGGCACGCTTCCCTGCTTCGGCGTGTTTGTGAAGAGGATGCGGTGTGCACAAGACGAGGTCTGCATCCTCGCCAAAGATGAGTACCCGCGTTTGCGCTACTATTCCGGATGCTTCAAAAACACATCGAACGTGGCAGTGGAGAAGTGTAAGCTGCCGCTGCTGCAGGCTCAGCCCATCTGCTGCAATGCAATCCAACCTGGAGTTGCCACAGGCAGTTGCACAGGATTAGAGAAAGCACTAGCGATAAACCGCTACGATTGTGGACCTGTTGTAACAACAATACCTCCGACCACAATACCTACGACCATAATACCTACGACCACAATACTTCCGACGACAATACCTACGACCTCAATATCTCCGACGACAATACCTACGACCACAAACATCCCCACAAGCAGCTCCATAAACATCCCCACAAGCAGCTCCATAAACATCCCCATAAGCAGCTCCATAAACATGCCCGGCATCCCCATGAGCGGTAAGCTTTTCGAATGTGGCAATGTTTGGTATTTTAAAACAGCTGAGTTCACTGTCATGGCAACACACACACACACACACACACACACACACACACACACACACACACACACACACACACACACACACATACACACACACACACACACACACACATACACACATACACACACACACAGACACACACACACACACACACACACACACAGACACACACACACACACACACACACACACACACACACACACACACACACACACACAGACACACACACACACACACACACACACACACACACACACACACACACACATACACACACAGACACACACACACACACACACACACACACAGACACACACACACAGACACACACACACACAGACACACACACACACAGACACACACACACACACACAGAGAGAGAGAGAGAGAGAGAGAGAGAGAGAGAGAGAGAGAGAGAGAGAGAGAGAGAGAGAGAGAGAGAGAGAGAGAGAGAGAGAGAGAGAGAGAGAGAGAGAGAGAGAGAGAGAGAGAGAGAGAGAGAGAGAGAGAAAGAGAGAAAGAGAGAGAGAGAGAGAGAGAGAGAGAGAGAGAGAAAGAGAGAGGAGAGAGAGAGAGAGAGAGAGAGAGAGAGAGAGAGAGAGAGAGAGAGAGAGAGAGAGTAAGAGAGAGAGAGAGAGGGAGAGAGAGAGAGAGAGATTAAGAGAGAGAGAGAGGGAGAGAGAGAGAGAGAGAGAGAGAGAGAGAGAGAGAGAGAGAGAGAGAGCAGAGAGTTTGCCATGTAAAGGCACATCAGCCTGTATCAGTCGGCATGGAAACACGACTGAATGCCAGTTTGACTGAAGTGCTGCATCACTGTGATCAGTGGCATTCGTTGGTCGATGTTCTGCTCTTCTGCTTTGCTGCCCGTGTTCTTGTTCTAGGGCAAGGCGAAATAGTGACCGCCAGTCAGCTGGATGGTGGGATATCAGAAGTGCAGCTCATCATAGTCTTGGTTCTCCTCACCTGCCTCATCATAGCACTTACTGGATTGACGTTGATGCTGTGCACTCAAAAGCCAGCATGCTTCAAGAAAGCCGTCACCAGACTGGCTCGTTCCAGGCTGCCCAAACCGCCACCTGAATGCGCGGAGCAGAGAGTAGATGATAAAACGGCGAACCTGAATACGCTGGCAAACCTTAGGTTCGATATTGACCTTGGCCATCAGATTGCACGCGGCCGACAGTTTGACTGGTATCTTAGTGTGTGGAGAGGAGACCAAGTAGCTGTTAAGGTCTTCAAAACAGCCGCAGAAAAGCTGTTTGAGCAAGAAATTCATCATTTCAGCACGTACATCCTGCATCATGAGAACATTGTTGAGTTTCATGACAATGGCCACCTGTGTGCTGGTAACACCGTTCACCCGTGGATGTTCTTGGCGTATCATCCGCATGGCTCACTGTTCGACTTTCTCTCGTGCCGCTCTGCTCCCAACATGCCGGCGGACGAGCTTGGACTATCGGACATGCAACGGATGATCTCCTCCATAGCCACTGGCCTGTCGTATCTCCACTGCTCTGCGAAGGACCGCGCTTTCGGCTGCAAGCCGCCCATTGCGCATCGCAACCTGAAGAGCAAGAACATCTTGGTGAAGCGCGACGGGACGTGCTGCATTTCCGACTTGTCACTGGCCATCAGTCAGGACAGGAAGACAAATGGCATGCACTATGTTGATGTGCAAGATCTGAAGGTATGTATGTGGCTGGTTTGATGAGAGAATAATGAGAGAACATTGTACACTTGAACCTCATGAATGTGAGAATGTGCATGCTGGATTTTACCCTACCTGTCTGTTTAGGCTGGATCAACACGCTATATGGCACCGGAAGTGCTGAGTGAAACCATCAAACTCGGCTCTTTTGAACAGTTTTTGATGGCCGATGTCTACTCCGTCGCCTTGATTATGTGGGAGATTGCGCAGGTGTGCTGCCAGCCAGCCGGTAAGTTATGATGGTGACGATGATGATGACAATGTGTACATGTGTGTGTGTGCACGCGTAAATGTGTGTGTGCGTACATGTGTGTACATGTGTGTGTTTGAGTGTGTGTGTGTGTGTGTGTGTGTAAACATGTGCGCATGCTAGCGTCTGTGCGTGTGTATGCGTACACGCGTGTGTGCGCGCGCGTGTGTGTGTGTGTGAGTGAGCGTGTGTGTGTGTGCAAAATACTAGTGCATGTGTTATTGTACGCATGCTATGTCCTCCACCATGATTGTCCTGAACAAATAAGTGTACAGTGGTGGGCTCCTGGTCTTGTGGCAGTGATCATGAACCCCTGCACTTTTTTTTAAGTAGAAGATTTTACTTCGCTATGCTCATCCTGCGTCTATCTGTTCTTCTCGATATACCCGATTAAAACTAGGGCTGTACTTTTGCAATGGAACCCATTCCAAAGGCAGCTGCCATTAACCCTTGGTTTTTTGTTGTTGAATTTGTTATGAACTGTGTCTGTCAGGCGAGACACCGTGCTATATTCTACCCTACTCTCATCGTGTGCCGGCTGATCCCACGCTAGAGGACATGCATCGCACTGTGTGCATTGATAAGGCCAGGCCACCGCTGCCCAGTCGATGGCGAATGGATGATGTGAGTTTGAAACAAGACTGCTGTCGCCTAGCTTGAATGAACCAGCATGCAGTAGTGTCAAGTTTCTCGTGTATTTCAAAACACTGACGCATCATGTTAGTATGGATACGTCTTCACTATTGCATGTTACTTGAGATCCGTTGCCATGTCAGTTAAAATGATAACGAAACGGCCGGTGAAGTTGAAGTTGCTTTTAACATGACTTAACACTGTCATAGTTCTTGTGTATCTGAAAACATTGGCAGGGCATGTTAGTTCATGAACAGTGTATGAGAGGCAATTAGGATTCGGTGTGAACATTATGTTACATGACATATTTATGGCATTCCTAGCCTGTCGAATGAATGTATCAGTTATTTTTAGCACAGGGTTGAAAGGCACAGATAAATTAGTGCGGTGAAATTAATTTCAAGCTCAGCACGTTGCAATGGCGCTTCCAGTCTTCGTACAGCGTTTCAAGCTCATCCAATACATGTACAGTGCTGAAATAATCTTGTGCTACGTGTTCTTGGTGCTGATCATTGCCTGCACAGACCCTGGCCATTGTTCATCGCTTGATCAGCGCGTGCTGGAAGGAGGATGGTGCCAGTCGATTCACCAGCAAGCGCATCTACTTGAATATTCAGGATGTGCAGACAGACGCTGACTCGGGTGAGACGGCAGTGTAACCGCCCGGCAGCCAGAGTCCTGAACTTGCACATGCGGTGTCGTGATAACTTGTACAGTCACGCAGGCCGCATGCAAGGAAATGGTGGAGAAATGTCTGATACAGAGTAGATAATAATAATATATCGAGTGTACTTCCGAATCCCTCCACCAGTATAATTATGTGTTTGGTAACTGAGGTGAAGGAGTGACCACTACACGTACATGTGTGTACGAACTGCTTGCTCTGAAGTACTGCCCCTGATAGTCGAGAATTGGCATGTGTGCATGGTTTGGATTCTAGTAGAATTGTAAGTAATAGTTCTAACAGTTTGAGTATGAGCAATCTCAGTATGTTCGCTGAGCTTGGCTTCTTGGCAGTCTGAGGACTTCACTGATAATTTGATTTTATATTTCTGGCAGTATTTTTTCGTATTATTTGTACCAATACTTGAATTTGTCACCGACCAGTCATGACGTCAGTCACCTGCATGACTATGGTGATTTTGTCAGCTATGCTGACTTTTTTGTGCTTTCAATTAGAAGTTGAGCACTCTGGCAAGGTATGTCTGACTTTGGGAATTTCCTTTTCCTCCGGCATTGCCATTGCCCCTAGAGTCGACCTTGTTTTTCTGTGTTGTGCTGATGTGTTCACGAAGGACACCACTTGCATTGCTTCTTCATGTAGTAGATTGAGTTTGCATGAAATGAACTGTGTACTGTGCCGTGACTGTAGCATGATGCGACTACCAATCAATCCAACCTTGTAACCTTATTCAGGCTAACCTTATCCACCCTACATGTATGCATGCAGTAGATCTACACAGAGGCGCTGATTAGCGAACCAAGTACCGGTATACAATGTACTACTGGCCACACCTCTTGCGTTGCGTTTATCGCTCCCGTCTCCTTTGCTTCGCCACATGATTGTATAATACCTGCGATGCTTCAAGTACAATGTACATGTAGTTAGTTTCCTTCGCAAACCACGAAACTCTGGCAAGTAACTACTTGCATTGCTTCGTGTACGTATTCAGTCTTGTGAAGTTGTGAGCGTATTCAATGTGTCCTGTGCAGGCTGTAGACGGTCCGGCTTACTACATGTTGTACGAGTAGTGACTGCTAATATCGCTGGCCAGGTGCTTATCATTATCAGTCGAGAAAACAGGTTGGTCGAAGAAAATGCCTGATTTGAATACATGTACCAGTAGTAAGTTGTGCTCTACAAGTTTGAACATCCCTTCTCTTCTTGAAGTAAGACACGCTAGCCAAAATACTCTGGAAAGAGGAGCCTCTATCTCAGTTGATGATCATGGCGACAATCTGAACACAAACGAGATCGTACTGAAGTCCGGGATTATTCCATTCCAGGGTCGTACAGTACTACAAGTCCTCAATCTTCTCCTACTCCTAGCTTGCTTCACCCACACTGTAGACCCAGCAGTACTCAAGCAAACATTTCGCAGTAAAAAATAATCACGGAGCTCCGGAGCAAGGAAACGGGGCGAAAGTAACGTCGGTACTACTACTCGTAGACTAGTAGGTAGAGTCGTACCGCCAACACTTTGTTTACGAGATATATTAGGAGAGGAAGCTGTTTTGCAACTCAGGGTTTCACGTCGATCATTAGGCTGTTTGTAGTGACATAACAAGGCTTCCGTACCGTGCATACCACACCCAGGCAGTTGGCACAGACGGGTGAGCAGAGTTGGCCAGATGCAGATGTGACTGGATGGCTGAAGTAGTAAGACTACTACAGTTGTAGTAGTAGTTAGTTGCTTTTGAAGTTTTGCGGCCTGGTTGATCAGCGATGTCACCTGGTCACAGCTAGGCTATTAATTTTTATGTGTCCGCGTTGTACATGTTGTATCGCCTGTGCTGCAATGAGGTCGATTGGATGGTAAACGCTTTGTTTGGTAATGTTTTGTTTTCTTCCTTCGAAAGCAAGTTCCGGTGAAGATTTGTGGACTTGGAAGCCGATGGAATGGTGCCTGAACTGAAGTGACGGGAACGAAGGTGCAGTTATTGGTAAAGGCTTGGACAGGAGCCGAAGGTGGTGTTCACATGACGGACTCATTACATAGAGCAAGTGGTAGTGTCGAAATTCAAAATCATATACGTGTATATAGTGCTCGAACAGCAGTGAAATCAGAACGATACAAACCTTATGGCAGGCACTTCCTTGAATTCTGCTCCATTTCTTATCCACCGTACCAAACGTGCATGAAACATACAAGAAAAAATAATACTCTTACATTCTGCCACAGTTTTTTGCCCGCATTATCCGCCAAGCTTCAAGTTCAAGGGCAATCCGGCGTGCAGTGAACACATGAGTCTACTTTATTAATGAGATTGGTTTTCACTTCCCACATCTTGTACTAGTATTCTGTTCCCTACATGCATACTACAGTAAGTTAGTTACCCTACACTGTAGGCAAGAAAAGCGATTTTTATTATATGGCTGAGCGTTGAGTTCAATGTCGATAATACTGACCCGTGATTCAGCGGTGCGACTCAACTCGCAGTTTGCCCATTCTCTTATTTCCTATACATGTAGATGTCCGTGGTGCTAAGTGTCAGCGTGTGCTCTCCGCACTGAGAGAAGGTGGCAATGAAGACTGTGGCTGCGAATGGAGAGTACTGAAAGCACCGTTTTGGGCAGTGTAAGAATTAATTACTTAGGTAGTAGTGGTTGTGTGTTCTGTGTTGTTATTAATTTTTGTAATTTTTAGACTCAATGACCACTGAGTGTCACACAGTGTACTTACTACTTGTAGTCAGTAGTATTCTTGGTAGCCTGTGACTTCGATACCTAGACGGCACAGCACTAGTATTACCGTAATAGTAATAGGCTAGCTGGTGCACATACAGAGACGCGGCAGTGCAGCTGTTCGGCAGGGGCCATGGCCATGGGTTGCTCAATGAAACCCGATGCATGTCAGTCAAGTAATTTGTGCCCTGCACCAGCTCACATGCCAGTGTTTGCAGGTCTAGGGCCGGTTGCAGACCGTGTCCGGTGGTCGTACTTGACTCGTGTCATTGGGTCTCATTGAGCAGTACTAGAGCAGCACACCAGAAAGCAACAGTGCCAAGTGTTTTGTACGGCAAACTTACGTTGTTTCAGTAACTTTCTTTCTCCAAGTTTGATTATGGGTTCTTGTCTGAAAATGAAAACCCAGTAAATATTCCAGCGGCGGACATTTTCGACTACACAGATCCATACCAAATAGCCTAAATTGCCTGTGGCTGACAGTAGGCACGAGCACTTGTGTAGTGCTACTGTCAGGTTCAATGGCCCGTCTAGGCGGACTTTGCGTGTTAGTACTAGGCTGATTGTCTAGTTTTGGACACTGAAGTGACAGTCAGGTTGTGTCTGAGCTTTGACGGCTGCTTGATTTGCCCTTCTTTCGCTGTCAAGTTCTAGACTCAACAATGTAAAATCACGCCCGCAATCTCGGCAGTATGGGGTATATGCAGGTATGAGAAGGCAAATCTGAACTGGAGTGTGGTGATGCTAGCAGGTTGCGTGACGTAACCTCAGTATGCACACGTGTGTGTGTGTGTGTCCACTGTGTGGGGGGGGGGGACCTTGGTTGACAATGCTTGAAAATTAGGTCGAAGAGCATTGGAATTGGCAGAACCATAATAAACTGTATCTGATCTACTCACCTCCCACCGCTTTAGGAGCTGCATCCGTGCCTTCATGCATAGAGGGTGGTGGCGTTCCTGCCTTGATGCATAGAGGGTGGTGGCGTTCCTACGGATGCGGAAAACTCGGCCTCCAGCTGAGTCCCACGTGAACCGTGATTGTTTTAAATTATACATCTGGCATGGCAGGCAAGGAACTACTTTAGCCATACACCAAAATGCATGAAAATACCAGAAAAAGTACCAAAATTTGCCATTTTCAATGGTTAGTTAGTTTTGAAGCAGTGCTGAAATAAAGAAGTGTTTTTGAAATGTTCGGCCCGCAGATGCGGATGTGTTCCAGACTTTCTAAGTGACAGGGTGTGCACCCTGTGTTGGCTTGGATACTCAAGTCTGCTTTAGGTCAGTTTGTGCCTGTAAATGTTAAATTTCTGCTGCACAGCTTGCTTTAGTGCTTTTGGATGTTTGACATGCTTTAACCGGGATTCACAGAAGCTTTTTTTGCGATGCGATGGGCGATGCGACGCGATTTGCGATGGATGCGTGCGATGCGAACTCGCGAAATACCATTCACAGAAGAAGTCAGCCATGCGACAACGCCTTGCTGATTTGGCGCGAAGTTCAATGCAGGTGGGTACGTCACCATGGTATTCGTACTGTTTGGTACAACTTGTACAAATTTACAGGCAACTCTTGAACCTTTGTACAACTTTGCTGTAGAAAAGGTCAAAACCGTACGCCAAATCGCTTGTCGCATCGCAAAAGTTGAGCCAAGCTCAACTTCTGCGATGGCCCAGTTCCGGCAGTTGCGTGGGCTGCGAGATGGCTGCGATTTGGGGATTTCCCGGTTTCGCGGCTGTCCCACCGCGTGTCGCATCGCAAAAAAGCTTCTGCGAATCCCGCTTTAGTGAATGGGATATACACAGTGAGCAAATTGTTCTGCAGGACCGTACTTTTTTTACTTTTGTTGAAAAAAAGTGGGTGTCTGTGTACAGTAGAACTCGGCCCTAATTCGGACGCGTCCGTCTCCCGGCCACTTTTCTGACCCATCTAGACTCACAAAAATAGACTTTTCATCGAAAAGGGCCCCGAAACTGTTGATCGGCATAAACGAAGTGTTTACTTCCATACACTAAGTGTGTATGTTCTGAGCAGGGAGTTGTGAAAGAGTTTTCACGACTCCCTAGTTCTGAGCTACAGGTAATTCCCCATGGATAAGGTGAGACGGGGAGTGTGACTGTACGTGCGACTCACGAGTTGGGACCATGGCACTGCGGCACTGCGGCACCGTGACTAGACCTGTGTACCGACTGCAGGACTACTGTACTCCTGCCAACACACCATGTACCAGCTGCTGATCTGACCCAGCGAGACCCAGCACTCTAGCCACATTGCACACTCTACAACAGTTGTTGTTGTTGTTGTTGTTGTTGTTGTTGTTGTTGTTGTTGTTTGAATTCTTTATTCTCACATTGTTGTTGTTGTTGTTGTTGTTGTTGTTGTTGTTGTTGTTGTTGTTGTTGTTGTTGTTGTTGTTGTTGTTGTTGTTGCTACTTTATTTTACTTCACCAGAATTCCAGGCAGTAGAATGCCTTCTCACTAGACCAGGTCTAGTTCAGTCACCATCACGGTAGCCATGACGACAATGCAAGCAACCCTGGGTAAAACCGAGAATATCGCGACTCCGGGCCAACACAATAGGGCTTGGAAGTGATTACATCAAAACGGCCAGGGAGTAGTAAGTTCATGTCAGATTTCTACTTTTGGATCCACTACAGTTTGACTTTGCTATTGCCTCAGTATGTGGGTGCATAGCAACCCACTCATGTCGTATGCAGGTGTGACTTTTCTTCACCACTAGTTGTCACCCCATCCCCATTAGCCAACCTAGTCAATTTCACCGGCCTTGCTGTGAGCAAAGCCGTTTGAAATGTGCTTGGATCCAGATCCAGTTTTTGAATTTTTGAAATTGTTGCTATTCTGTTACGTAGCACTTTCAAGCCCTATACTAAGACTTTTGCTTTCGGAGACTGCCGTTCGCAGTCAACCATGCGCACTTGCGCTGCACTCAAGCTCGATCAGGGAAATAGAAATAATGCCCGGTGTTTCACATTTCGATCATTATCAGGCTACCCACAGTCAACTGGGAACTTGTGGCCAGGCACAAGGGGTACATGGATGCAGCTAATGGGGTCGTTCTCGGCACTTGTACCAGTGGTTGTGAGACTTATCAACTCACCCCCACCGTTAGGCGCTGCATCTGCCGCTAGGGTTTACCGGGTGTTAGCGGCCGTCGTGAGTTCCCTTCGGGAACGGACACGATAAAGCACCCAGTCTGCACACCTTTGACGCTTTGTCTTGCCGGGGACTCCGGGGACTAGTCTTGGCATTCATTGCCTTCATGGTACATGTACTTTATATTTGTTGTCATGGCAACGATCCACTGTTCACTTTACCCGAGTCCATTATGCCATGGCTTAGGCAGCATCACATCACTAATTGCTAGTACTAGTGATAAGACCGTGGCGAAATTGCGGACGGTAGAAACTTTCCAGAGGTGCATACACTAACGGAACTTTCAACTTAGATCTGGGAGATCAGAAGCATGAATGCATACTCTGGTTTCTCTTCAACCACGAAGAAATCCTTTGCCTTTTACTAAAGATTTCCGTGGAGAGGAACAATAAAGAGGATACAATTTTTTATAACCCTAAAGAATATCTGAAGGTCTTTGTTCCGAGCAGTGGAGATTCCACATAACAAACTTGCTAGAAAGTGTGTCCATGCACTCTGTGCAAAGAATGGCTCACAGTTCAGTGGTCAATGGCCCTTGGTGTCTGCTCTCACAACTACATGTGCAAGACTGACTCACACTGCTGCCTGGTGCTCATCATGCATGAGTTGCGTGCCGGATAACCTACATCAGCAAGGGAACATTAGCCAGAGTGTGCAGCTCCGATAGAATGAGCCCACAGCAAATGTTTTTTGTTTAAAAAAACAGGTCTTACTTTTGAAGTAAGACAGTCTACCCACACACACGTGTTCTCCAAGCTGCTGCAGAGTTCTGGGAAATACATGTACAGACTCAGTACTGCTCGATGAAATCCAGTCGTGTCACCCAAGTGCGCGCTGGGCGTTGCGCAGCCCTAGACTTGCGAACACCGGGCTGCGAAATGATGCAAGGCACAAACTTGAGTGACACGACTGGATTTCAATGTGCAGCACTGTCCTTCTCTCACCAGTACACTGTACTATCATGCAGCTTTCGCCTGGTAGTGTGTGTGTGGGGGGGGGGGGGAGGCAGGGGGGCAGCTAAGACTAGAGCACAATGTGATGGTGGTGACCATCTATAGAGTCGTCCGCGAGACTTGATTACTAGCGTAGGCAGCAGAGCCTAGCCATGACTTACCAGCTTCTAGGTAGCACTGCACGCATGCAAGCAAATCACAAGTCCGGGCACACGCACTGCACGCATGCAAGCAAATCACACAGTCCGGGCACACGCTGAAACTGCCTGAGAAAGATAAGTAGGTTACGTTGAAAGGTCCAACGCATCATTTTAGTTCTCCATTATCAATTACATTCTGACAAAAGCATTGCGCAGCAGCAGGACGATGGCTAAAGAATGGCTACTGAACCTACCCTGGAGTTCAAACAGAATACAAATAGCATACGAGCACTCGGAAAAATTGGCACAGTGCTGGTATTCAAATCGTAGTGTGAAGCGCTCAAGGAAAACCTCAGGTAGGGCACCTGGGTAATCAGCTCAAATCATACGGTACTCAAATCAAGTCATTGGCGAAATTGAGAAGTTGAAAGAAATCGAGATTGTCACCAGATCATAACACAATCTAGTCACATCAAACTGTTCGAAGCTAAACGTATGAAAGTGATCATATCAAGTGAGCCAGCCGCACACATCAAGCTGCGCAATAACAAGCATGTGGGCGGCCAGGGACAAGGCCGAGTGAGCCGTGTGTGTATGTGAGTGTGTGTGTGTGTGAGAGAGAGAGAGAGAGAGAGAGAGAGAGAGGGAGGGCTAGACCGGAGATATAAGGGCATTGTCCGTAGAAGTGGCAGCAGCCACGTCTGACTGCAGATTGCGCCAGATACGGTGAACGGCAAAGCGACTCTGCGGCTCCTCTTTCCACGATGTGCGAATGATACGTACAAGGACGGCCAGTTTCTGAACGGCAAAACATGAACATAAGAGCAGAAAAGGGCATACACGTTTACAGCCTCCCGCGTGAAGATACAGCAAGGTGGATTGAGACCTCTGCTGCGCAATCACACAATCTACTCTGGTAACTGGCTATGGCAAAAGCAGTCTTGCCACATGACACAGTAACTATTATCTGTATTGAGGAGCATTCCTGGAAGCCCATGGCTGCACACCTGTGAATGACACATTTTGATGTTCTACCATCGAGTCGAGGATTGACCAAATTAATGATTGCGGAATCTATCTAGTGAAAAAGAAGAAGAGAGAATTCCTTGCATAGCTACTCCAGAGACCAAAACGAGGGAACTACTGCCACTGAGGCACACTGTGTCAGTATTTCATACTTCAGGTAGCTGTTCAGAGTCAATTTTACGAATGTTTGCCTCTAATGATTGCGTTGGGCCTTTCAAGATTTACTTCGAAGTACCAGCTTGGTATGGGTTTAAAAAAAATTAGTAGACTTCTAGTTGTGAAGACCCCCGAATGGCATGATACACTGAGCAGCAGCACTCCACAGGTGACAATTCGCCTACCTTATTTTCAAGCCAATGGTCCGGAAGGCTGGGTCTAAGTTTCCTGACGCACACAGCTCCGTACATATCCTCCACGGACGGATCACCAGGGACCGACTCCTCAAACGGGAACTTGTAGGTTGGAAGCTCATCTGCAGTTGTGATTGGACAGCAACAGAAGTACGATTCAAAGTTTGAAAAAACCTGACTCCGAATACAGAGCATCACCTGCCGGTTATCTTATCGTCAAGAGATGGCAACAGTAGCAGGCTAAATCAAATTCCTGCACATTTCAAAGCATTGCATGCGGTATGGACAGGGAGTGAGTGAGTGAGTGAGTGAGTGCAAGCACATCACAAGCAATACTGTGTATTGTAACTGTTGTGAAGGGGTGAAGAGACACCGGAACTTGAAGTACTGCGTGAAGCACAGAGACTCAGAGGGGCATTCTCACCGGAAGACGGGCAGCACACAGTTGCAATTTCCCAGAGGACCAGCGCCAGCGCATAGATGTCTACCATGCGGAACGACTCGAACACGTGAGGATTGATGGAGCCGTCCAGGATCTCCGGTGCCATGTAGCGCTTGGTGCCCACCTGAGCAACACACGCCCAAACGAATGCAGTGGTGACTTAGAGCCATACACCTTCATTGATATCCTTTGACAATGAGAAATACAGTGCACCATGGCAATTCCATATTCACACAGCCCTCCATTGAATTAAAGAAATGTTTCCATAGGTGTAATGATTTTTTAGCCTACACTTTAACGTCAGTTGAATGCGTATACTTCACTACTATTAATACTATCCCCCACCCCCCAGTTTTAACGACGCAGAAATCTTAACAAATTTAAAAATTTGGTGGAGTTGATGAAGCTACTTCAGTAGGTTTGGTAGTGCTAATCACATGATTGGCATTCAGATTGCAGCTGAGACAAACCTACCTTCAAGTTGTCCTTGTCCAAGAAGTGAATAGCATTCTGACTGGGGTTGTGACGTACAGCCATGCCCAGGTCAGCTATACAGCATGTACCGTCCTGCTTTACCAGGATGTTCTTGCTCTTCAGATCTCGATGCGCTATGCCCGGCTTGTTGCCAAACGACTGGCCATCGATATGGTTGTGGAGGTGCATCACGCCAGCTGCGATGGACAGCGCCATCTTGTGAAGGTCATCCAGGCCCAGGCATTTACGGTTTGGTGATGGGTTTTGCGTGCTGTGCCGACGGAGGTAATCATACAGGGAGCCATTGCAATGGTAGTCCAGTACCATCCACAGTTGAGTCTCCATGTTGAAGTCGCGATTGTCGGCCGCACGGAAGCCGAGGATGTTCTCGTGACGCAGCATGCACGTGTTGAAGAGCTCGACTTCTCGGAAGAACGATGCCTCCTCAATGGTCTTGAAGATCTTGACGGCAACTTGGTCTTCTCTCCATCGGCCCCGGTACACTTCACCAAACCGCCCAGTGCCAATTTGGTCGAGCAGGTCAATTTCACGCGAGATGGTCCTCTCCTCCAGCTGCAGTATCCCTCTCCCGCTTGACTCGCCCATATCGCAACCAGAGTCATCGCTGATTGCTTCTGATGTGACAATATCTATTGGGAATCTGCTGGGAGAGACGAAAATCTTGCCATTGCCCTTGGCTTGTCTCTGCTTGCGTACAGCTACATACCCAATAAGAAGCATAAGTCCGATGAAGACCAGAGAGGCTAAGACGGACACGACAACAACTATTTCCGTCGGCATTCCGTCACTTCCTGCAACATACACACACAAGAATGCACAACGCAAAGAAGAAATTCCTGTCTCAAGAATGGAACATAAAAACAGATGGTGGGTGTCCGCAAAAACTAGAGAAGCATTCCAAACAAACACTTTTCAATGAGCCATCGATAACAAGGTGCACATGTAGGAAACTCTTGACAATCCTAGACTATTTTATTATTTTATTTATTTCTGCATCTCGTAGCATGTCAAGACAGCCAATTGAATTGAGGAGAGGGTTTGACCTCCTATTGCAAGGTGAGCGTTTAGAATCCGTGCTTTGGAAAAGCAACTTGAAGTTAAAGTATCGCGCGTTCGCACTTGCAAATACGTCAACAGCGCAAATTCAAACATTTGACGTGTTTCATACATGCACTTGTGGCCAATGCATGCCGTGAAGACGTATCCATGCAAACCAGTTCAGATTGAGTAAAATGGAAGAAAACATCGTTTGGCAACGCTAGGTTTGCAGTAGATGATGGAACCTACTTCCAGCGGTACAGACATCTATCCCCACAAATTGACCTAGTCGACTACATGTACCCTGTGTACTGCGAGAAGACACACTGTGTCTAGCGTCCTGTGCTGCTGCTCTATGCCCAAGCAAGGGCAGAGCGTACCACTACACAAAGGCAGAGTAACAGATACCAAAACGCCTTTCCCTAACTCCGAGTTTTGTTTTAGTAAACACTCATGAGAGGGCGAGTGCGAATTGTGGAGAAGAAAGATAGAGAACCCAGAACAGGGCAGATGTTCACCTTTGTGTAGGTTTGTTGATGATGATAATGGTGATGTACGTTGTGGTGGCTCTGTAACTACGTCACACGACCTGTTGTCCTTCAGGAACGCCATCAACCTGGCACGACATTGTGTGTTCTCAGGATCACTGCAGCAGACCTGATCACTGGCTACGGAACACAATACCTGCGCAGCTTTGGGTTCACAATACGCTTCCAGCATTCGCACGCTGCCATGGCATCCCTTGAATGAAGCAACACACTGATGGGTGCTGACTGGACATTCCACATACGCAAGATCTGGCCTGGCACAGCTGTGTGTATCATTACACTGAGGGCACGTCGCAGTGCTCATAGCAGCACTGGGCATGCTGATCGCCACCATCACAAACACGCCGAGCACAAACAATCGCGGAGGAGAAGCAGCGCTACCACTGATCCCAAACATTGTAATTCTCTTGTGCACACGTGTTGCTCTTAGTTCACCAGTGCAGCGCCGTTGCTGACGTCGTACCTGGCCAAGGTTCAGCGGCCCACAGTTCCTAGCGCTTGGTCACTCTGCACCACCTCTCACACCTACTCAGCTGCAAGCTCTTCTTGCTCACTTTCGCAAGGACCCGCAGCGAAGCCCGCGGCACTAGTTACGAATGAGAGATTGATAACGGTGAAACTAGGTGCACATAAAATGAACTCTCATAATAATGTATACGTAAACTCCCTCGGTAAGTCGCAGACAGATCCTTTAGAGATTGAATTATTCGAGAGAGGGATGGCCGACGGCTCAGGTCTCAAGTCAGTCTCTTTTCAAGGCGAAACTGCATTGTTGATCGCCTTCAGTTTGGCCTTACTTTGTCGGCACGAACCACTCCCGACTCGACTGGGTAGCGGTATCAACTCTCCCGCCAGACAACCAACAGCCTGGCTGCGCTGTCCCTCGTGACAGGGGGAAATAATAATTGAGTCTAGGCTGCAACTAAGTTACTTGTAAGCAGTTTGCTCGGGGCTGCGGCGTGATATAAAAGAGCGGGCAACTCGTCCAAATGAGCATTTTTAGCCTCGCTCGGAACGTCTTCATTCCAGGCTCACAGCGAAATCGGACAGAAGTACAGACTCAAGCCGTCGTGAAGTGCCACCGGGTTGTACAGCAGATCTATGAAGGCTCTGGTCGCAGTGCAGTGAGTACAACCACAACAAAGTAAAGATCTACTCTTCCTCGTACTCGTAGTGAGGAGTTGCTAACAAGCAACTACTGCTAGCAGCAGTCATTAGCAAACCTGATGACCCATTTGCCTCTGACTCCAATCTGGAAATCTTTCTTCACTACATGTACGATCATGTTGACTCTACTCGTCGATCTACTCTGCAGATCATGGTACATGTAGATCTACACGATTCACCAGTACTGGCAGTAGTTGTACGTGAAAGATTTAGGCTGTGAGTGAATCTTTTACTAGTACTAGTAGTACTACTACTAGTACTAGGAAGTATGGAATCAAGCAAGAGTACGAGTGTGAGATCGCCTAATCACAGCCCGCCGCGCGAAGCGCGAAGGGCTGTGATGCAGGCTGATCGAGCACGAGTATGAGTGTTTTGATTGCATTTCTGACATGCACCCACGCTTCAAACTCATATCGAACTTGTAAATACTTCGCGAAGGGCTGCGATTGGCTGATAGAACATGAACACGACTGTTTTGATTGGATTTCTGACAAGAACGCGCACTTCCATCTTCCTATTTTGCTTGAAAGCACGACTCTCAGCCTTCTCGAGCCCGAGCCGAGTAAAAAAAAAGCGAGCTTGATCAGTGAATCAAAGCCCTAGTGGAGCGGGCTTTGATCGTAAAATCAAAGCCCGCCTGGGCGGGCTTTGATGGGAAAATCAAAGCCCGCTCCACTAAATATGGAGTTCTACTTCTTGTAGCCTGCTTTGATCGCCTCATCTAGGCCCTGCTAGGTGCAATGCGATTGGTCATCTCCGTGCCTACAGTCTTGTGACATGTCAGAAATGTGCTTTGGATGTGTTCCTTGGCTACTCTAGTATTGCTGTATTGCCATTGCCGGGCAGAGATCATGCTTGAGCAGGCTCCTTCACGCTTGACTCCTTGAGCCGCGTTTGACGCGAACCACTTCACATTAAACTAGTAGTAGTAGTAGTGCACTCACACTCAACTCTCAAGTCACAGAGGCACAGGACAGTCGATCAGCACTGGCTGTTTTGCAGCTTTTGGTCAAGTGCACAGCCCCCTCTCCCCCCTCCCCTGTGCTACACTTGTCCACCTTCAAAAGTGCGTGGGACCTTTGAACTGGTACAGAGAGAATTAATTGAGCAGTTGTTTGTCACTTTGACAATAATGATTAGTAATCTCAAGTGTGCGGAGCGCTGCACTGACTGCGCTGCATGAATTATTCATGCTGGTGTACATGCATGACGTGAAGTGGTGAGGACCCACATACACCCACACTCCACAGGCCATAGTCCAAAATACAAGTCATGCCTTGCTACATGTAGAGTATTAAAGAAAAGGGATGAAGGAACTACGAGTTACGGTATGTCCACTAACACCACCATTCTACTAAACAATCAGCTCATGCCATAACATCGCACGACACTGACCAACGGTACTGACGTTCTACAACTACATAATCTGCTCTAGCACGTCTAGGATGCGTACTCCAACAACCTGCCAACTTACTTGGAGTTTCTAAGTAAGTTATGTTTAACATAGGAGGGAAGGTGAGCGCAACCAAGACAAGCAAGAGCTGAAAGTATCAGTTGTGAAGGACGTTGGCGGATGCACATGCATGTCGATGACGATACTGGCAAGACCATTAGACAATACGGTCAAACCACGATTCAAGGACGCATAGCAACATACCACACAGCTTGTGTCACGCAAGTTCACAAGTTGTGTGGTTCATATTCACTTCCTACACGTTGGGATAGCATCGTCTGTCATGTCAGTTCCAGGATTCCACAAAGCTCTCAGATGAGTGAGAAATGTGGCAAGTCTGTTCAACTTACTTTAAGTTAGAAAGTGATGGGTATGCATTCTGCACTACTGCCATACACATGATAGCTACTACCCAACAACTAGTCCGAGGTCAAAGCAACACAGCGGTCTACCCCCCCCCCTCCCCTGAAGGTTTGGTCGTCCTTTTCAAGATCGGAGGTGCCTCTGCACAGTGTGCAATACTACTACACAGTACAATCATGCACATGGTTGACCGCATGAACACCCCTGTTCTTCCCTATGCATGAGAAATGGCAGTACATGTACTGGTACGCCTACCATGCACCATGTATACGATCTGCAAATGCACCTACAACTAGTACAAGGCTTCATTACCATGCTGCCGTAATCCATGGAGCGATGCAGGTGTGCAGATGTGCACGTACGTGACTGTACAGTACAATGTACATGTACAGTTGTTATCAGTTGTCTGCAGATTGCCATCTGGCATGAACCTATTAGTTACAACAATCCAGACGTGTGTTACTCTATGACTCTGTGACTCGTGTGTTACATGCTACTCTATGACTCTATGACTCGTGTGTACAGTGTACATATAATGTGCAAACCAACCCAGGCAGTAGAAAATGTACATGTACACTCAAACGTCTCTTATCCGGACGCCTCAGATACGGGCACGTCTCTCTACCGGGCACCTTCAGCTTGGGTTCCTATGGTAAAATGCTTCGAATTTGGGGGTTTGAACTTTTTTTCGTATGCACAAGTGCTTATTTTGTCACCATCAACCTGTGTAATCCACACGTCGTTATCGATCGATCATGTTGGTATCCTTAACATGTGCAATGGTTGCCAAATAAACTTCTTCAACGAATGATATGATACATAGTAGATGAGTTATCCTGAAATACGGGCAAATCTGAGATACGGGCAGTGCCCGGTCCCAAGGTGCCCGGATAAGAGGCGTCCGAGTGTAGTTTAGTTCTTTTGCATCTAGCACACGTACCAGTGCATGTCTATGCATACATTTACATGCACAATTATGTAGAGTTCAGCTCAAAGAAATCCGACCAATGTCCATGAGCTGAGAGCTGCACCAATAAACAAGGCTCATGTGAGCCTGGGGACCTCGAATGGGATTTTGGACATGCATGACATCGAAACGCGGCTCTGCTTTGGACTCGCGGGTCGGATTTCTTTGACCACGACTGTGCCACTGTACATGATGTTACAGTGTTGTTGTGTTTCATGAATAGCGGAATACTGCGGAATGCCAATACTGCATGGCAATACTGCATGGCAATACTGCATGGCAATACTGCATGGCATTAGACACAAATAGACTTTGATGGAGAGCCAAGGATAAATTTATAGTAAAGAAAAAAAGGACGTTATCGCATGAGCTGATTGTTTAGTAACTGGTGGTGTTAGTGGACATTATAGCGTAACTTGTAGTTTCTTGCCACCTTGGTCCTTTTTCTCTACTCTACATTAGACATGGTTAACATTTTACCGTTCACGCTAAATCCAACGGTATTCGTGCCCAACACCCAAAAATACTGTCGGTTTGGTATCGTTTTGACGATAGAAAGCTCTGTTTAGCGGGAGAACGAAACGGTAAGATTCCAACTAGGGTTATGTCACAAGTCGATCGTTGTGTCAGAAACCGAAATGCTAACCATGTCTGGAAAACACACAAAACCGGTACACGCCAACGGTCGGAGTTAGCGTGAACGGTAAAATGCTAACCATGTCTATTGTTAAAATCTACTTATAAAGTTAAAGGTGTGAGTAACGTTACGTACTGTCTTCTGCGGGATGCGCTGCTGCTTGAACCTGCTGATTATCCTCATCTTCAGTTTTCTGGATTGACGCTGTTAGGTTTGTCCCTGATGCCACTGGGCCCAGAGCCACTGCTGCTTCGCTTTTGTTCAGGAAATGGCCGGAATTATTGCGAAATCTTGCGTTGCAGAAATTGGCATCCGTACAGCACATCTCCGTACCAGAAATCATTTGGTAATGAACGCATTTTAACTGAACCCTGTCATCTGCGCAGCCATACTGAACTCTGGTGTAGAGTAGTTCTCCAGCTTCAGATGTCACCGCCTTCAGGTCAGCAACACAATAGAGGTTTGTGGTGCATGTGGGGATCCCTCGCGGGTACCTTCTCTTGACCTTCTCGATACATTCACGTTTGTTGCACAAACATTTCATGGGCTCTTGCCGCAGCCCGTGGGAATAGGCTATCGGGACCTGTTGGGTAATCACTAGCAATACGACGAAAAGGAAGAATTGTTTGAAGGCGAACATCGTGTCCTATCGCCACGGATATCCTGTCTGCAAATGACAGGTTGCGTTGTGGTGTTGGCAATGCTCCATCATCACCTTTTCTAGGGACAGTTGGTCTTGCAAGCCCCTGGTGGCGCTCCTTTGCTCGTGCTCTGTGTCCACTGAACACTTGAGAGCGATTTGTCCACCAACAAGCGTTCATAGCCTCCATGTTTGTGGTCCGAGGATGCTCAATGCATAGGCCGTCCGCAAGGTTTTACTTTAGCTTTGGCTCTGCAAGCTGAGCTAAGTACACACTTGAGCGCAGAAGAAGCGTTCACCGATGGAGCAAATGTGCTGGTGGGGATCGATTTCGACGAGGCGTAGTGGTCCCGACCGTCACATCGATCATCGGCTATGGTGTTCAACAATCGCCTCTTCCCATCACACACTTCTGCACTCAATAGTCCCTTGAACGAAGTAATGCTGCATGGTCTCACTGTTCCCTGTTGTTTTCAAATACATCCGCGTCAGCGCGTTTACTAGTACAGTCATCATTACAATCATGTATAATTATTTGTGTGAAAGTGTGCTACTTTCTGGCGTGAACTATTACTTGTGCTACTTGTATGTACAATGTAGATCTAAATGGACCTGCTATGCCTCTGTGTGGTGGAAGGTGCCTGACGTGCCCTGGCACCGACCGTCGCGTCGTTCGTTCTCGACTGCCCGATCGGTGATGCCCAATAGCGCGATTCAGCACACTTGAAATCAAGAAAACCTCTTGTCAGCTGTAACACTTCTTCATTGCCTGTTCCCTGTCTCACAAACTGGAGACGAGCAGAAATCTAGCACAGTAGCAGCGGGTCTGGACTAAACAAAGTTGGAGCATGATTATACATTTATAGCACAAGAACAAGTGACCCACATGATCAGGTACATGTAGGTCTACGTGCCCAGTTTGTGCTGAATGACCTTTTCTCCTATGTCATGTAGATCTACATTGTAAGTCAGTAAGTGGATTCAATGATTATGTTCTTGTTCTGTAACAAACTTTTGCAGCGTCTGTATGCGTAGCATTCCAATATGTATCGTGTCCGTG